CATTTGACAGACATGATACAAAGTGGAGTCAGTTTATTTGTGTGATTCCTATCTTTGTTCTTTTCATGACATCATAATGAATTTTAGCATGACAATGACTATCAGCCATCTTGAATCACATTCTGAAACAAATGCATATGTAAATTTTGAACATTCAGTCCTGCCATGTTAGCAATATGCTTCCATAAGCAAAATGTAAAAGTTATCCATTTTAAATAAAATCTGGAAAAAGGAACGTGTATCAAGGATATCTTGAAATGAATCATGAAACGAATGCTTGTGCCCATGAATGATATGATATGCAATGTGTGAATGAAGTTTGAATGAATTAGGCCAGGCATGTCTGAGTTAGAAATGCAAACAGATTCAGGGACTGACGGAGGTTAAATTACAAGTCCATAGTCCTAACAATGTGTATGATTTTGAAATTTTTTGTAACTGATGTGTAAGGAAAGTAGGGCATTGAATAACTGGGTATGCCTGACTTTGAAGTTAGGGAAGCAAAATTCCTGACAAAGAACTAATTTAGAGTTACATTGATAGTAAAGCATCAAGTATAATTTGATGAAATGTTTAAAGGTATCAATTAAATTGAACCAAAAAATAAAATTTATTTTGAATAAATTATATGAAATAAAGAAAACTCCTTTCTGTTTAACTAGGGTCAAACTGGGCAATGCACAAACGTTTTATTTAGAAGATAACATGAACTCATTGTGTCCTACACACAGAAATATGTTATACTTACATTACAAACTCCCCATGCTACTGTGCATTCTTCAGAGGTGGCAGATGCTTGGTTTGCTTGACACTCAATACCTAGATTATGTAATAACAGTAAGTCAAGTAAAATTACCAGGGAGCATATTGCTATTACATGTACATAAACAGTTGTCTGATGATGGCTGATAAAGGGCCATTTCATTTCAGGCTAGATAACAAATAGACTTGGTATTTCGGTAGCCAAACAAGAAAAAAAAAATTATAATTATAGGCCTAATAATTTTATGAATAAAATCAAGTAAAAAATGTTGTTGAAGCAATTTATACTGTACTGCATATATTACTGTGTTTGACTTGATATTGTCATGTTTTCAGATGATACTTACAAAGATCCATGATATGATTCCTACAAATGGCACAGTTATCAACAACAATATCCCAGGCCCATAGTGCTACTGCATTCCACTAATAAGAAAAGTAAAAGTGAATGGAAATTACTGCACATATTCTAATTGCCAGACAATAATTGTTGGAGAAGTTTACATCCCCATCAGTGATAAAGATGCAGATACAATGAGATCCAGTACACCAAAATACTAGCCCAATGGTCTGTACATTGGTGTCTGAACAAAAGGTCTTCCATACAGATTAGTCCTACTTGCTTTATGAAATAAACTTTAAATCATCATTATAATGAGGTTATCACAAGAATACCAAAAAGTATGCACAAAGGCAGTACAGTGAGCACATACTTTACAGTATCTTTAGATAACTTTATGATGTTATATTATTTTCCAGCTTGTAGACATATTTTGATGGGAGATTAAATGTTTTGCATTGTACAATAGTTTGCAAGAGTGACAGGATTCTAATCCCATATAGTGTGAGATGAAAACAAAGAAAAGTATTTTAATGTGACATCAATAACCTGGATCACGTCATTATTTGCGAAATAGTTTACTCCATATATACGTTTTCAAACGCGTGCTGAACAACAAATTTTATTATTTTTTGGTGCTAGATGTATGAGGTTATTGTCAAAACACTTTTTGACAATTTTTGTTATCAGAAAGAATTCCTTAAGGCCCCCTGACTCCTAACCTGAACCCTAACGCTCCAGCCCCCAAATTAAATATGCCCCTCAAATTAATTATAAGTGACTGAAAGTGAGGTATATTATACAATTGAAATTTAGAAGGGGTACTGGAGTTGCAGCATTATGGGTGAGGGGCCCTAAGGAATATACTA